ATTATAAAATATTCAACGAAATACATGCGTGTCGTTAAGTAATCTTTAAGTTAAGTAGTAATCTTTAAGTATCTTTATTAATTATAATCGTTTTCAATTTTCTTAATATTTTTCAATAGTTTACAATATGACATTTAACTTAATAATAATACATGCAATTTTTTTAAATAAGTAAAAATTAAAATTATATTCTGTATTTTATAAACACAATATATATATATATATATATATTTGAATATTTGTTTAAATCAAAATTTTTACAATTTTATAATCATTTTTGCAAGGATTATGGCCCCATTATTATTAATCGTATTGTTTATCCAAATGTACTTAAACTTATACAATTACCGCTTAAAATACCAATAAGTTCAGCATCATGTGACAGTTCATTTTCAGCCATGCGCAGGATAAAAAATTGGCTGCGCACTTCTATGGAGCAAGATCGTTTCATTGACTTATCAGTAATTTATGCTGAAAGAAGTATATCAAACGAAATAGACAGTAAAGAATTATTAAAAGAATTTGTTAAAAATGATCATAAATTTCAACTATAAATAAATAATATATAATTTTTTTTTTTTTTTTTGGTATTTGTAATTTACTTATTACCTAATAATTATAAATGTGTTAGGGAAATGTATTTTCAGTTAAATTATAGTAGTGGAAAAAATGTATAATTATGAAAGAGGCTTAGATAAAAATTCTAAATATATTATTTTGTATATTGTATAGGTAATATTTGTGGGGGTGTGGGGGCAAAGCCGCCAACAGGTCACTTTGATTTATATATGGATAGCCCCTCAAGTCAAAAACTGAAATTGCGCCTGTGTTAAAACATCAAGGTCAGTAAATATTTGCCACTGTCAATAATGTTTTATACATTAGTTATTAATATGTTATATAATTTATATCACTACATTAATTACATAGTTTCTATACATATTGGCATTTAAAAAAATAATAATACTGAACTCGCATACAAATATATGTAAATATTTATTACTTAAACATAAAAATTCCATATATGAGATAGTGTCACTTGCTCTTTCAATTACGTAATTACGTAGTCCAGCCTAGTATATTAAGTTAGCAGATAGCTATTTTGTTAAACGTGTATATTATACTTTACGTATATACTTTATTATACGAGTATATTACATGTATATTACACATAAAAAAAGGTATTTAAAATACAATCCAAGACCTAGTCATATTTCAGAGAAAGCTTTAATTTTTCATAAAATCAAGAACGTATGTATGTTCATTATTCTTAAATTATTTTTCGGTTAGTTTTAGAAAATATTTGAAAAGGGTTGGAGCCTCTGCTAAGAACATTTTTTATAGGATTGATATTTTAGACTGATTTATTTTTAAAAATAAAACACAAAAATTAATACTATAGATTTATCACAATATTTTAATAGAAATGGATTAATATCTGTATAAGTGTTGATAAATCATTTAAAATGTGGGTCCAAAAAAAGTCCTTGGTTTAATTATGACATTTAGAGTTCCAATGTGAAATAAGTATACATAAAACGATCAACAATTTTGATATAATTTGATATTGTTATATAATGTATTTTATTAAATAATATCACCAGCTCATAATAGTTATGATTTTGAAGGTTAGTCTATAGGCACTCTTAAAGTCTTACTCCTTACACATCAAATTTTCGTAGTATAATATATACTATGTATCCAGTAGATATTGTATGAGTATGTAATATAGTCTACGTATTAACGTATATCTTATCTCATACAACTTCCCTGCGGAGACGACTGGTTTTGAACCGTCTTTTTCCTATAATATATTTTTAGAAGTACATTAAAAGTTGTAGTCACAGGTGGACAAATGTATTCATACCGATCGAATTGTGTAAAAAAATATATAAATATATCACATGATAATAAATAATTTTTACTCTAGATCTGGAGGGGTTATCTATTTGTCTACCTACCACTCCCCGTAAACTATATGCATCAACATAATGTTGAATATTTTAATTTTTTCCACGATTTGGGTCAGCCATTAAATATCACTGTAATTAATTGGAATCATGCACATAAAGAATAATCGTTAATGATTTGTTTTTCTATTCCCTACTTTGTTTCGAATGTTCCGAATGTGATTATTAATTTTTTTTATTTTCGTCCGTCAGGCTTTAACATATTATGAGTAGTATAAAATACGCCGAGAACTTTTAGAAAAAAAAAATGATGCTTATACTCGCGGCATGTTATTATTTCGACTGAAAACAACAACCGAGATTGACGCGGTAGCGTTGTTCCGCGTATTTAATCGTAGACAAAACGTGTATTATTATTATTATTATTATTATTAATATTATGATAAAAACATTTATTATGTACGATATTCGGCTCAAGGTCGTCGCAAGCGTAGTATAAACCTTACAATAATAATAAATATTCGCTTCGACTGCGACGAAGACGACGACGACGATGAATGACGTGTAAATGATTAAGATTATGATGATTATAACAATAATAATAATAAACAACAGGTACGCGGCGTTCGCGAGAATTACATTGGTGGCGAAGTATACGCGAAGACGGACAATTAGACGGTTATAGCGCAACGTTATTTCACAAGTACTTGCGCGCGCGTATTACTGTTATTGCGGCCGTGTTCGTGTTCGATTCGTACGCGGTAGGAGTGAGCCACCACTTGCCGGCACCAGCCGCGGTAGAAGGAGACGCCGGACGGCATGAGAGACGGATCGCGATTTCCGAGAAATCCGTACGCGCGCGCGCCCGTTCCGTCCAGTCGCGTTCCGTGTTCGACACTTTGTGCGTACGTCGTCTAATAATAAAAACCTCGTCGTCCGCTTGGTCGGCCGTTGCGCGTGTGCCCGCCGTTTCGGGTTTCCTGGTCGGCTGCGCGTCGTCTCGTTGTCGCAACGTCTTCGTCACATCCCCGCATTCGATCCCGCGGTTTATTTTCCGCCCGATGACGCAGAACCCTACGTCCGGCTACGGTTCCGTCCGTCCTCTGTTCGCGTAACGATTCGCAATCCGGGCTCGCATCGTTGCGGAGTGACACAACGTGATATCGCGGCCACCGAAACGATGTCGACATGAGGTACTGCTTAAGCGATATGATCGTCAAGACGATACCGAGTCTGAAGCCCAACGAGAAAAAGTGAGTCGGTTTCGGCCGAATTCCCCGTATCCATATCTGTCTAGGGTTGCTTTGTGTCGTTTTTATCGTAATTTTAAGTATATCCCGTTCGCGCTATCTTTTCTCGCGATTCAAGATCCGTATTTCGGATTCAATTACTTTGTGTTGTTCATAGGGGGAAGCATTAGCGATATTCGGTGCTTACTCGTTATCGGTTTTATCCTATTATAAACACACATATATATATATATTATTATACGATAAAGTAGTCAGAAAAAAAGTATATGGATTGATGTGTGACTTTAAAATTAAGGTTTCGGCTATTTGAGAATTATACCTAAATGTAGAACGCGCATAAGTGATTTGTCTATATTCTTGTTTATTAAAATAAAATAAATGTCTGCGTTCATTAAAATAAATATTTGTTTTATCTTGTTGATATTAAAACGTATGTTTATTGATCTTGATGTTTTTACACATTCGTACTTGTTCATTCTAATTGTGTAAATGATTGGAAGATTATAATTTAAAATTTATAAACAAAAGACTAGGTTTCTAATTGTATTAAAAAGTTAAAAAAATGTATTTTGCAATAAAATTTCTATACCTTTCACGTAACTTATCTGTTTATTATAATTGATATACTTACATAATTTTAAATTGAGATTTAGCTAGAAGGTTTAAGCTATTCCTACGAAGAGAAAAAATATAATCTAAGCAAATTATTGTGTAATCTAGATCATTTTTAGTCAAATCGATCTCAACACGGGTATCCTACTAACTTGATTGTAACAATACTTTTAATTATCCATCAGAAAAATCAGTATAAAAATAAATATTAAACTGCATTATGAACATTATGAACTAATACATAGATAAGTATCTTAAATATTTAATGCTACCAATAAGTGTTATGACGATGTTTTAGTTTTATTTTAATTTAAGATTCATTATATATTTGCAACTTCAATATTTTTTATTGAATGTAAAATATTGAATATTATTTTATGGTGTATTTATTTTCAAAGAAATTTAATTACTAATTAATATTAAATTTTTTTGTTTAATATCACCATGAATTTGTGAATTTGTGTTATCTTTGGGAGCAATTAAGTATTACGTCAGCAGATCAAAGGAAGGGGTTTGAGAAATCTGACAGTACCAAATCTAATGTCAGAGCATCATATGTATCAAAATTCGAATTAACTCATGAAAAAAGAAAAAGTCAATGAATTATCGACAGCATCAAAGACGTGCTATCTTATTATTCTCATTATCTTTAATAATTATATTTTAATAAATTTGTATAATAATATTTAAATAATTATTTATTAATAAAAATAAAATTATTTACATGGTCTATAAAAAATGTTTTTGTAAGATAGGAGGAGGTAGTCACTGTTGTACACTGTCATTAGTGGATGGGGGGGGGGGGGGGGTAAAAATGCTTAAAAATGTGCTTACGTAATATTTTCATACTTTCTTTACAAATTAGGAGTATGTTAGATTATTATAATTTAGTAATAAAAATAATACTAGGTAATAAATTATAATGCTTACCTAGTAATTATTTACAATTAAAAACAAATACCTAAAACAGTACTCAGGTTGATTAAATTTAATTAATAGGTTAAATGTCAATAAAATATTTTTAAATTATATTCCATTGATTAAATACTTGATAATTGATTAGAGTACTGATAGTAAGATATACCCAATAGTGAAAAACTTAATATTATTTAGTAATTATTATTTTACTTTCTATACAATTTAAATGTTTTGAAATGACTTGGTAAAATATTTTTTCAAATTATTTGATTTTAATATTAATTAATGTAATTGTGTTTTATTTTTTTAGTATGTTGTGCATTCAGGAAGAACTTGGAAACCTTAGTATAAAAGATAAGGAACCAGTCAAAGATAATGCTGTAGGGAATAATAAATTGGAATCTGATGTATTAAAACCAAGTGGCTGGTTTGATGGATTATTAGGATGCTTGAAACCGATGTTGGGAATAATGGGAAAAGGAAACAGTCATGATCTTAAATCTTATCAAGGTAATAATGAACTAATAACGTAATTATTTTCATTAAATGTATGTAATATGATAAATGTATATTTTAATAAAAAAAATTAGTTATTAAATAATTAACCTTTCATATATTTTGTATAGATAACTGGGATATTCCATTTGAGTCAATTAGTGATTTACAATGGTTAGGTTCAGGAGCTCAAGGTGCTGTATTTAGTGGCAAATTAAAAAACGAAATTGTAGCGGTTAAGAAGGTGCGGGAACAAAAAGAAACTGATATAAAACACTTAAGAAAACTTAATCATCCCAACATAGTTCAATTTAGGTGAACATTTTATCAATATGATATTTTACGTTACATTATTTTTAATTTAGTTTGTTTATAACTTAGGGGTGTTTGCACTCAAGCTCCTTGTTATTGTATAGTAATGGAATATTGTCCTTATGGACCACTCTATAATCTACTTAGAGATGGTGAAGAAATACCACCCATACGACTAGTATCTTGGGCCAAACAAATTGCATCAGGCATGCATTATTTACATGTGAACAAAATAATTCATAGAGATTTGAAAAGTCCTAAGTACGTGAAAACTTAATTTTATATATTTATAAATTTTATATTTTATAATCTTTTACCTCTTTCTGAAGTGTCTTGATTGGACGCCAAGAAATGGTGAAAATAAGTGATTTCGGAACAAGTCGTGAATGGAATGAGATAAGTACTAAAATGAGTTTTGCTGGTACTGTAGCTTGGATGGCTCCTGAAATCATAAGAAATGAACCATGTTCTGAAAAAGTAGATATTTGGTAATTTATTTTAAAATAATGATAACTTAAAAAAATAACTTAACTTTTTAAAAAAAAAGTCAATTTTAAAATAATGATTGACTTTTTTTTATTGTATTTATTTTTCAATCAAATTATATTTAAATTTTAGGTCATTTGGTGTAGTCTTATGGGAACTTATGACTTGTGAAACCCCATACAAAGATGTAGACTCATCAGCTATTATTTGGGGTGTTGGTAGCAATTCTTTACATTTACCAATACCTTCATCATGTCCAGATGGTTTTCGATTGTTAATTAAACAATGCTGGGCAGCAAAACCACGTAATAGACCATCTTTTAAACATATAATGATGCATTTAGATATTGCCAGCTCTCAAGTACTAGCAAGTACACCAGATGAATATTTTAAAACACAAGTAAATAAAAAACAAATAGTTTATATTATATAGAGACAAAATATTTAAACTTTCTTATTTTTTAACACAGTATAATATAGTATATTTTATAGAGTACATAATTTAAAGTTTTGCTAATTCTTAGGCTCAATGGAAAAAAGAAATACAAATACACATGTTACAAATGCAGACTAATGGAAGTCATATTCCTAAATTTGAAGAAGATCTAATTAAAAAAAGAAAAAATGAGCTAAAACATGCACAAGATATTAGAGAACATTATGAAAGAAAGTTAGAACGAGCAAATAATCTTTACTTAAAACTGAGTGCTGTGTTATTACAGTTAGAACAACGAGAAAGGGATTTAATTAGGTTAGTAGTTTTTAGTAACATCAATTTAGCTAATCATATGTAAATACATATTATTATATTAGAAGAGAAAAACAAATGTCCAAAGTATACAAAAGACGACTTATCAGACCTTTACTAAAAGCTCAAGACAAATTGAACAAACAGGATAAATTTGATTCAACTACCACATCGCCATCATCGCCAGAAAAGCTTTGTCAAAAATATAACTCTGTAAATATCTCTAAATTAAAGTCTTTAACTTTTATGTATTTCAGATTATAAATATCATTATATTTTTCATAGAATTTAACTAAAGCTACTCTATATGCTCAAGTAAGTAATAATCCTAATAAACCTGAATCATTTGCTGTTTTACCAAAACAATCTCAGAGAAAGACTCGTCCTAGAAAAGCTCAAATTATATGCTCAATGATGAAAAATAAAAAGGTACCATGTAAATATATATTATAAATTATAATAAATACTTAACAAACATTTTATTTACAGTCCGATTCTTTAAAAGAAACTAATTGGAAGAACTGTTATCAAACAAATTGTAATAAAGTTAATAGTGAAACGCAAACTGAAACTATTGATTCAGGACTTCAACAAGATATGCTCAATGGCAATATATCTGATTCTGCTCATTCACAAGTAATTATTTACACATTAGAACATAAAAAGTGATTTTACTACATAATATGTTTTAATAAATTAAGGGTGAAGATAGTTCATGCAGCAGTGGAGTAAGACTGAGTGATGATGAGCATTTAGATAGACTGGGCAGACAGGTTAATGAAATACTGAATAATAACAGATCTACAAATATGGCTGATATGTCAGAATATTATCAGGATACTGAATCTAATTCTAATAATTTTAATCTTAAAAGGAAAAGGTAAACTAACTGATTTTAAATTTAAATCAGTAAATTATTAATTTTACTTATACATATTTTTTAGTGCTGGCCGACGTCCAATTGGCCCTGGTTTACGAGTACGTCGTCATAGGATGATACAGTATTGTCATGAGCCAAATGGAAATTCTTTTTCATTAAGTTCATCGACAGAAGTATGAAATTATACATTTATTGAGTGTATACCTAAATAAAAAATTTTTTTATTATTCTTTACAGAAACATGATTTTCTAGAGATGGAAAGTTCAACATCTGATTCAGATATGAAAGATATTGATCTAGATCCAAAATTTTATCATGTGCCTGATCAATTTCCAGTTTAATACCATGTATAAAATCTTATAATATTATACTATGGTTATATTTTTTTAAGTTAATTACTCTATCATTGTTTAATTTTATCAGCATACAAACATATTTCTCTCGCAATAATCTCAGATTTCACATCCAAAACAAAATATTTTCATTATTTTTTAAATGTTTTAACTTACCTAGCAATCTAACATTTTTATTTTGTCTTACAACTGTTTATACTTACTGTTATCATTATTTTTTTTAAATTTATTAATGTATTTCTATTGAAATATAATTATATAATTTTTTGAATTGACATTAATATTTTGGATGTTTTTAAAGTAACAAAGAATATCTGTGATTATGCAAAACAACATTAAAAATCACTTTTATAACAGCTTGGAATATTATTATGATTTATATTCGTTTATTTAATTTGACATTTGTAATGGTTAATAATAATAACATAATATTCCATTTGGAAACATATTTTTTCCATAAGACAAAAATGAATGGAAAAGTAATATTGCACAGCTGCTTATATAAGCAATCAAATACATTGATGTAGTGATTTTAATGTTTGTACTGATTGTAGGTAGTTGCTTTATAATTTCATGAGCAATAATTATTGATCTCTTTTGCCATTTATAATATTGTGATGTAAATTAATTTGTAAGCATATATGTTGTGTATTAGTAGACTGGCCTTATGTTAAGGCAAATTATTATTTAGAAAATAATTATTTTAATACTGATATTTTTAGGCTTTTTCTCTTTATTTTGTATGCTGTATAGAAAAGAGAAATAATTTTTAAAAATAAAAATTTGTTTAATAGAAAAATATGTTTTATTAATTAATGTCATATGTACATTTATCTGATACATCTTCGATGTTTTATAAATGTAGAATGAGTTGTTTTTAATTAAATTATTCATTATGAAATTTTATCAGTAATTAAATTTCATTTTTCTGTTCAAAGAATTGAATCCTTGACAATTTTCCACAACTGAACTTTATTACTTAATAACATAATTACTATTATTTTGATACAACAGCTAAAATAATTAATTGAAATATATAACTAATTAAATATTGCTAACTTATGAAGAGATAAAAATAATTTTTACCAATTAATCATATTCTATTTACATAAATGTTGTCACTTTGTGTATTAATTACGATAACTGTTCTTCAATAATCAACTTGTGTTAGTTAAAATATAGCAAAACAAATTAATTAGTTATTGAATAAATCTTAAGCCATTAGTGTACGGCGTTTTTTTCAATGATGTGTTATAATATACATGATGTTACAGATATACATAGATGTAGGTCCTTACAACTCTTACTACATAGAGGGTCCACATAAATCATAAATAATAAAAAATCGAGAAATGATTATGAATAATATAATATTCGTATCAATAGGAAGGAATTATTAATTAAAATCAGAAGGTAACACAAACACATATTATAGGTATATGAACTGTAACTACATTCCAAAGTGTAATATTAAAAAAGTAATTAAAAAGAAGCACGACAAAATATGAGAGATGAGCAAAAGGTAATATTAGCAAGGTCACTAAAGTAATAAATCTTATATTTATAATATTCAGTAACAACTTTTACATAGTATTGCACGATTGATTCCCACAAGACCTGAGTATATAAGGGGGTTACTAATAGACCAATATTTAGATTTGTTTTAGTCCGATCTTAGCAAGCACCTTCATGCTAGATAGATTAATGATTTATTGTACTTAGAAATAATTTCAGTTAATAAATGTTTTGGACTTAGAATAATTTATCAATAAACAGTAAAATATTTTAAGTCTAGTAATTATTTAATCAACCGATCCGCTCACATCCATTATTGAACGGTTGAACTGACGGCACACAATAATGAAATGATTTTTTTTTTGCTCATCACCAAGGGTGCAGTTGCGTAGTTACGGGAAGGGTGTAAGGGGTTTCCACCCCTTCCACAGATTTTTTTTTAATGATATTTGATTATTATTTATTAATATATACCTAATTATAGTAAAATTTTTGATTTTACTATAATTAGGTATATATTAAAAATTGAGTAACAAAATAATTTTCATTAAGTACGAAACATAATAATAATACCATTTTAAATGTAATATAATATTATTACTTATGACCTTGTTTTAAGACATACTAAGAACACTTAAAAACTTACTCTTAAACACCACTACCAGAAAAAAATTGTATCTACGCCACTGCAAGGGTGTATTGGAACGTACACGCGGTTATACAGCAGATTTTCGACGTATACCTAATGTAAAATATTGTTTTACGGGTATACGCTTCTAAAATAACTCAATAAAAAAAAATGTAGTAGTTTATTAGAAAAAATGTTAATCTGTTGAAGACTACAGTGTACGTTGTGAATTTTATTATTGGCGATTGGGTACCGGTCATATTCAAGGAGTTGTAGGTAGTCAATTTCTGGTTTTTTACTGTTACGCGTTGTCGTCGTGTGCGTAGTAAGTGAACGTTAGTGTGAGTGTTGTTATTTTATTTTTTTTATTTTATATTACAAAACAGGCCGTGGCCCAAAGTACAATTTTTGAATACACATACATACAGCTGTCAATGTTATTTGCTCGTGCATAGTTGATAATACTTTAAAGGAACTATCTTCTGCGAATTATGTATCTGTTTTAATTGACGGTTCCAACTACAAAGCAATTAAACTAGTACCTGTTGTTGTTCGTTATTTTTTGCCTTATGTTGGTGTAATATAATATAACGATATAATGTTGTCTGATAACAAAAATATATGGCTTGAGTTGCATTGAATTTTACAATGAAATAATAAAAAATCCTACGTTACTGAAGAAATTACACAGCATTGAAAAATATAAGGTCTCCTTGGACGAAAAAAATAAAGAAAAATAATAAATCAGTAAAATCTACCTAGATTAGTATATTTATCTTAACGGCTGGAAATTGTATTATTATTTTTATTTGAATTTTAAGTGTTAATAAAATAAAGATATAATTTTATAAGAATTTAAGATTTTAAGAAGGCGTATGATAGCATACACAGAGAAAGCTTTATCAATATCTTGAGAGAATTTCATTTTGAGGACAAGCTTATAAAACTGATTGAGATAAGCATTTTGGAGACATTTGTCAAAGTTAGAGTTGGAAACATAATTACAGACCCAATATTAGTCAAATCAGGTTTAAGACAGGGAGACGCTGTCACCAATCTTATTTAATATAGTGGTAAAAAAAGTAATAAGGAAGATGAATATTACACCGCAAGAAGGAGTTCCAGGAATCTTACATAGAACTGCTGGCTTATGCAGATGATCTGGTGATCATGGAGGAATCACAAGATGGACTAAAATTTCTTTTAAATCGGCTGGAGAAAGCAGCTCAGTAAGTTGGACTTCACATTAATGAAGAAAAAACGAAATATATGGTGGTAGGAAGGCAAGACACCATGGGATTATATCCGACGCTCAACATCAACAACCGAAATTTTAAAAGAACAAAAAAATTTAAGTACCTAGAGTCTATACTCTCGGAGAAAAATGAAATCGAAATAGAAATAGGGGCAAGAATTCAATCAGGAAATAAATACCTCTATGGTCTTGCGAAATTACTGGGATCAAGATCACTTTCAAAAGATTTAAAAATACAATTATACATCACATTAAGACGACCTGTAATTACTTATGGAGCTGAGATATGGCCATTAAGGAAAAATGATGAAAGAAAACTCTTAGTTCTGGGAAGAAAGATACTACGAAAGATTTTTGGACCAGTAAAAGATGTGCTAAGCGGTGAGTGGAGAATAAGGAAAAATGATGAACTAGAATACACTCTTCCGTAAATCCTGTATACTCGAAACAATAAAGAACAAAAGACTGGCATGGGCATGCTTGGCGTAGCCAAAACCTACTCATACGCATAGTATTAGAAGAAAATCCTACTGGGAAAAAAACCACTGGGAAGACCACGTATAAGGTGGGAAGACATAGTTAGAATTTATGTGAAAGCGTTAGGAGGAGGGATAGACTGGAGAATACAGGCAGCGAATAGAGAAAATTGGAGGCAAGGATGTATGTCGGGATGGTCCTAGTGGCCGAATTTACCGAAGAAGAAGAAGAAGAAGAATAATAAAATAAAGATGGCCTATCTAATTGATTAATTTGAATATTATTTGTATCTAAAAGTTGTACCTATACAAATACCTATGTAATTATATACTTACTAGATAATTACCTATTTTTTATGAATTCTGGAGTCCCGGATTTCTAAAAATTAAATCTGACCACCCTACTTTAAACTGACTATATAACTATATAGAATAAACATCAACTATTAACGATTAGATTAGATTTTATTTATAAAAAAAAAAAAAAATTGAATAGTATTGAAAATTGTATGAAAAATTTTATTTAACAAAAATTAACCACCTTTGTGCAGGCCATAAAAAATTGCTCCTCTGGTCACATGCGGCTTGTGGGCCGCGGGTTGCCGACCCCTGGAATAGAACATTAATAAAGGCTATATCAGCAAGACAATAAGTGTAACAATTAGAATACGCATTACAATAACAATACCAACAATCAGTAACGGTGCTAGAGTTTGCGAAGCCTTAGGCAAAATAAATGTTCGGTTTTATAATTTATATTAATAAAATATTTTAAGTTCAGTTAAATCAGAACCGCGGGGCCTTAATTATAATTTAAGGTGTGGGGCCCTGGGCAACTGACCCTATTGCCCACTCCCTCGCGCCGTCCCTGCCAACAATGTATATGACTATATATTTTTGGCAGACGTCTATAATTTAATGTCAAGATTTTGAATCCATTCACAGCTTCTAGGGAAGCGTTGACCATATATTCTGATTCACCTTTAAATTTCACGATAGGACATTCGGTTAGTATATGCGATATGGCCTGGTATGGGTTACCACATTCGCAGTTTTGGGTTAGCACTGCTTTCCATTTGTGCATCAGGTATCCACATCTATCGTATCCAGTGTGGATGCAATTTAGGGTAGTCCATTCTCATTCTTTTTCAGAGCTAAAAAAATTATTTTGAATATTTATTTATATTATTAAAAGATACTGTAATAATATACCGTAAATTAATGTTTATTTTTGTATTAAGATTCTATTATTATTCAGAATCCGTCAACCACTGACATTGATTGAATGTATTAATTAATCGTTGTATTATATATCTGTGATTTATTCTGTGATAATAGTATTCTGTGGTATTATCTTTGTACCGTAGTCTAGAATAAGTTTAAAATATATTTAAACCATGGTTTGACATGTGCGTGATAACGGTTGTAGCTAACCTCAAATGCCTGTAAGTAAATGGATTGTGGGAGTTGCGATTGAAATATTGTGTGAACATTTTAGATGCAATACAATTTTTTTACGTTTTAAATATAGGTTTAATTACAATTTACTCATTTAGTCTTAAGACTGTTACATGATTTACACTCATATTACACTCGTTCATATAAATATAAGTATCCTTTCTTTTGAAATCTAAAAATGTTTTCGAAATCATTAGTCAATTTGTGCAGACAAGGATTAAAATCTACAATAACTATACAAAATATATTATGTAAGTTTGCAGTGACATTTGGCAAAAATATGTTTTAAACAAGCCATATTTATTGTAAATATATGTTAAGCTAACACGGAGAAAACTTCTCTTCAACAACAAATTGTCTTTGTATTTTTACAAAAAAAAAAAAAAATTTTCGTGGCATGAAAATTAAATAAGTTATACATTATATTTTGTTTAATAATTGTATCAACTAATATTTAAAACTTATATTATTAATATGCTGTGACGTCTGCGTGTTAAAAAGTAAAAAAAATTATAAATGTATCAGAGAAGTAATTATTATACAATTTTATTTCAAATAAGTGATTGAAAAATAATATAATTTAATGGTACACTAAAGAGTAAAATAAGTAGAGTTTTTATATATTAAAATATAAAATATTGAAAATTAAGTTGATTATATTGACTTATAACTATAAAATAATGTTTTTTATGACTATTTTAATGAAATGTTGTTTACCATATTACATTTAAATTGTAAAATTTAGGTAAACGTAATATATATGATGGTGCCGCAATTGGATTGGATAAGTATGAATTCTTTCGAGAAAAAGTAGATAATCAGTTTTCTGATGCAGATAAACAATTATTTCGAGAGCGTATGAGTTCATTTGCTGATCCGCAGTCAACTAGTTTAATTTTTACTGAAGATTTAAAGCAAATTGTACACATGATAAGAGATGACGAAAAAGATCTATTATTGCTTGAACAAATGATAAAGAAGTAAACAGAAATAGTTTTATTTCATATTTGTTTATATAACACAAGTATATAACATAATTTTTTTAACTAACCTTTTTTATTATAGATATAATAAACAAAACCAAGGATTACGATTTGGAAATTTTACTTTTGGACCTGTTGTCATGCGAATGTATTACTTTCTCAATAAAGCTGATACAGCCTTAAAAGTAAAAATAATTACCATTTTATTATTATGAACATTAAATAAATCTAAAAGTTATTTAAATTTGAATTTTAGAATATATTTAAATCTGATTTGTTTTTAAATTTAATTTCAACTGAATTAAAACAATTTTAGATGTTCAATGACCCAGAAATGGATGGATTCTTCAATAATTTAAGTTCTTATCAAATTCTTATGGATTTATTATTTAAAAATGAAAAATTTGATCAAATACTAGATGTATATAAAACAATACAAGAAAAACAATTACAAATTGCTAAATTTCCCAAAGGAGTTATGATGTTAGTCTTTGGGGCATGCTATAAATTGGTAAGATATAAATATATTTTTAATTTTGTTTGGTTAAACTTTTGAACTACGTATGAAAAAATTAAGATAGTTGATGGATTTAGATTATTTCTTTCAGTTCAGACAAAAAAGTTCATTTCATATAAGCTGTCTATATAATTATATGATTTCAATGGGCCAGTATCTTACATGAAATTAATTATCCTATTTACTGATACTATTAAAAATGTTATGGTAAAATCTTATTATACTAAATCAGTTGCAAATATACTCTTAAAATATTAGTTATTCATGAAATATTATTCAACTGATGATTCGCTTAATTTTAATTATATAATTATGACGGTTTGTTAAACTATCTACTTTAAATATTTTGGTTACTACTTAAATCTTTCAAAAAAAATTTGATATTTATAATTGATAAATTGATATATTATAACTTTAATAATTAATTAACAATCTATATTTTATTAATGACACGTGTCATATGCTATTTACCAAGAAAATCATATATACAAAAATCTAAGCATACAATCTACACTTCAATGCCTGTTGGTTCATATTTGTCCCATTTTAAATAGTTTGTTAACAATTTTTTATGTTTTTCTTATTTTTTTATATCTTGTAAAAAACATTCAAAAAATTTTTTTTGATTCATGGATCTTCACCATTCTTGTATCAATTTTCTTTCGAGAAGATTGTTCGCTCTATGAGCTCTAATTCCATACTTTACTAGTGTTTCCATAAATATTTATTAATCTGTATTTGTGCACTTGTACATGGATCTATAAAGTTTTTGTTGTGATTAATTGTTTGGTTGGCAGTAGATAATGTAGATAATGGTAGATAACATACAACCCTGACAATTTATTAGTCGATAGCATACGACACGTAAGTCTAGTTAACATTTATTTAGTTCAGTTAGAAAAAAAATGACAAGACTACTATTGCTAAATTATCTTACAAATTATTATTAATTATAAATGTATAAAATAATAAACTATAATTTATACTAAAGTAAAGTAAATACTTAAGATTTTAAATAACTTATTAAATTAATTATAAATTAATTTTTGTTTAAATGAGTAGATTGAGTTCAGTATATATTTATTTTGTCAGTTATATACTACCTTGTTTACATAAAGTGAAAGTTTTATTTCCAAGTCACAGTAGTATAAATGTCTTAATAATTGATATTTTTAAGTATTTCATTACAAGAAAATTTATTTGTATAATTTGCTTTATTAATTTTAATTCTTTATTCTTGTTTTTTTTTTTTTAAGAGAATTTACAGTTTATCAATTATTAGAATACTATAAATATTTTTCTTTAAGTATTGCTTTATTTAATTTGCATTTCATGTTATAAATAGTGTAAAAAATATTCCCAATTATATTGCATCAAATGCATGTATATTTAAAAATTGTCTACAATTTCTAATCATGTATTAACTATTATATTTTAGAATACAACTGAATCTTTTGAATATGCTTGTAAATTGTGGAATGATCAACAAGAAGCTGGCCACAGTCCTATTAGAAAAACAATTACTTTCTTTGCTGCTAATGCAATTAATCAAAATAGTCCTCACATTGCTCTAGAAGTAATAACATCAGTACGCAATCAAACATATGTTACACTTCGTAACTTAAAAGTTGTAGCATTATGTGATCTGGGACGAATCGAAGATGCCTTACCTCTTCTTAGAAGTGTTTTGTCAGTAGATCAACCATTGTCAGGTGGACCAATAACAAAACAAACTTATTGCAGAGATGTTGTAAGTAAATGTATTTTTAAATGTCTAATTTAATGAATATAGATAAGTTATAATTTAAAAGATAAACATTTGAACTATTATACAAATTTACAAAATAATTCTAAAGGTTTATTAGTAATAAATTAATAATTTCTGAGTAGGAAATAATAAAATATTATTATTTGTTTATCAATACATTTATCAAAATAATCTACTTTTAGATCCGATTTGTCTTACCCCTGATTCCCCAGTATATAATATAGTAAGAAAGAACTAATTCTGGAACTTAATAGTTTACCCAACTTTTGTTTTTTTCTTTTAATAAACATAAAACTTTAAAAAAATTAATATAGTTATGTATATGCAATAACTTTTATAACAATTATTTGATAAATGAAAATTATAATAAACAATAATTAATTTGAATTTCCATAAAAGATTTAGTTATGAATTAAATTAAAAAAAAAAAAAAAAAAATTGTACATGTAGTTGTAAGTATGTTTAAAAATAAACGTAGTATTAAAAAAAAGTATATTTTGGTCTTTATGGTATACTGCCAAAGTTTACCTATTACACATGAGAATTATTCTCTTTTTTACATAATAATTTATGACATACTTTATACTTAAATGTATTATGTATAATAAAGTTTGAACTATTGTATAAACTTTTAGTTGTTAATCCAATTTTAATTATATAATTACAGTTGTAAATTTCTATAGAATCGAACAACTTTTATTTTTATGTTATATATTTATTTACTGTTGTTTTCGTGTAATTTAAATTTTTACATTAAATAATGTATTAAATTTAATTAAATACATAGAATTACTGATCTGACCTTTCATTATATTAAAATATAATGACTAATTTATGTTCGTTCATCATTTAAATTGACCCTCTTGTCATACCTAACAAGTCTTAATTTATTTTTCTTAAAATATTTATATATATATATATATATATATTAAATTTAATTAAATAAATAGAATTACTGATCTGACCTTTCATTATATTAAAATATAATGGCTAATTTATGTTCATTCATCATTTAAATTGACCCTCTTGTCATACCTAACAAGTCTTAATTTAGTTTTCTTAAAATATTTCTTAGAAAAATATAGATATAAATCTTGATCAAAAAATATATCATTCAATATTTAATATATATTATTAGCCAGAAAATTAAAATTATTAGGTGTATGAAACCATTTTTCATTTGATCAAATTAGTTTTTTTTTTTGAATTAATCTAAAGTTTAAATTTTATAATTAAAATCAAAATTTTAAATTTATATAATGTATGAGAATTTTATTTATAGTCATATGTATGCTTTTAGATTAATATAGTCAAGTCTGCTGCTGAAAAATTGAATAATAAAGAAATTTCAGTAGAATTGGAAAGAATTATAAATCAACTTGAAGAATTAGGCATGATTTCTGAAACAGTAAGTAATTTAAAAACAAATTAATTTCCTTTATTTCAATATTTTTATAACTGGTTGTTGTATATATTGTTATTTAACATTGTATTTAAAATTAATATTTATACTAGAGCTAATTAGTTAAACATTTTTTTTTTTTTTTTAATAACATTCATTATTAAAATATTAAATTTTATTTTATCCTTAGTTTTGAGATATAAATTTATAATTTTTCTTTTTCAGACTCTTGATTCTGTTTTATGTTCAGAAGTTAAAATGGTTCAAAAACCAGACCAGTACAACAGAGATTCTACAGTATCAGCAAGTTATCAATCTGGCAGACCATATAAGAAACGAGAATTTAGACGTCCAGGCATTAATGATTTATTGTAATACATTTATATAAAATGTTAACTTTTCATGTAGAATCAAATGTATTGTTTATATAATAATTTAAATAATAAAATAAAGTGTAGGTTTTTTTTACTTTGTTTTTTTTTTTATTATTGAAATATAAACAGTTGTGTTTTATTTATAATTTTTACAGATAAACATATAAACTGTATATATTATTAATATTCGTACAAAATTTATATATATATAAAAAAAAAATTATACAATGATGAATTTGACACAATTACATATTTCAGTATACATTAAATTATTAAGTAGATGTATAAAAATGGAATTTAACAGATAATTTATTAACTAATAACTAAGTAGATAATTGCCTTAGGTTTCTTATTAATACAATATTTTATTTAATACTTCCTATGAAAATTATTTGTTTTATTATGAGCTTAATATAGTTAATATAATTTGATTCATGTGAATTATTAAATCATTCAGTAGCATCAGTTTTGCTTACCGGGTAAGGTTCTGGGATAACAATGTGTCCACTATCAATAATTATAACATCTTCAATTGGTTTGTCTCTAGAATCTGTACTTGTTGCTTCAACCTTTCTAATTGTTTTCTATAAATAAATAAGTCCAATATGAATAATCAGTAAAGGTTGTATATTGTATGTTCATAAAATATTTACCATTCCTTTGATAATTTTGCCAAACACAACATGACGACTATCTAACCAAGGTGTTTGTTTAGTAGTAATGAAAAATTGAGATCCATTAGTGTCTTTTCCAGCATTGGCCATGGATAGCCATCCAGCACCATAATGTTTCAGCTTGAAGTTTTCATCTGCAAATCTCTCACCATAGATACTGCGGCCACCAGTACCATCACCTTTGGTAAAATCACCTCCTTGGATCATGAAGTCTTTAATAACTCTGTGGAATTTACTGCCCTTATACCCATCACCTTCTGGTTTCTTTGCTAGTTCAATGAAGTTCTGAGCAGTCTTAGGAACGGTTGCACCAAACACTCCAATTTCCACACGCTCTGGTTCACTTGATCCCATTTTGATGTCAAACCACACCTTATCACATGAAAAAATAACGACAGTTATAAATAGTTGTTATTATTTCGAAAAAATTACTTCATTGAAGAGTGCAATACACTTACTACGTCGGTGACCTTAGGTCCTTTCTTCTCAGGATTTTGCAAGGCTTGGCTGTACATCACCACGAAAATCGTAAAAATCGTCATAGGTAAAATGGTCCATTTTAATAACGTCATGATTTTATAAGTAGAAGGCATACAATAATGAAAAATTAAAAACTGAATAGTGAAAAGTTGTTCGGGTAAGAGATAAAAACGTTGTGACGCCGACTAAAATCAAGTGAAAGGATTGGACCTGTACAGAGCAAAAATGTTGATGTGGACAAAAGACACGATGTACCACTAGAGATGGACAAATACCATCGATGTTTTTGTTAAATACATCGATGTTATGTCTTCGATATATCGAAAAAAGGTTTTAGTTGGATAAATGTTTTAAAATATTTATAAAGTAGTTTTTTTTAATTATTTGTACAACAATTTTATACATTTATATATTTATTCTGTGTAAAATATTTATAATAGTAGTTTTTTTAATTAATTGTGCAACAATTTTATAAATTTATATATTTATTCTGTTTGAGCTGATAATGGATAGGTGATTAGCTTGCGCTTCTTATCACAATCCGGGATATTATCGTCATCATGACACGTATGAAATAATCAGGGCCATATACAGAATTTTGACTCCCTGGGGCAACAAAAATGAGCCGCCCCTCCAACTCTCAAGGAATTATATATAGGTACATACAAAAAACAAACAAATTTCAAATTAAGGGCTATGAATATTTTTATATTTTAAAAATTTTAAATTGTGTAAAATAACTTTTTATATCAATATTTAAAAAAAATTATAAACGGTACCTATTTTTTAAAACATTTTTTTTTCTGCTCCTGAAGTTAACAAAATTATTGATAACTTCATCAAACTCCAGTGTAATTGTTATTTCTGATTCAATACACAAAATTGCCAATGCGGAATACCTGTCTTCGGTCATTGAAGATCTCAAGTAACTTTTGATTCGTTTCAAAACAGAAAAAGAACGTTCCGATGTACAATTAGTTATTGGTATTGAAAGAAATATTCGCAACGCTATTTCATTATACGGATACACAGTAATTAAATCTTTGCATTTTACAAATTGCAACTTTTCATTTATAGTTTTAGGAGCATCAATTGTAACATTTTTTAAGTGTCATTGAAATTGAATAACTTCATTAGTAAAACTTATATCCAAATCTTTTGGATACGATTTTTGTAGTATTTCCGCACTCTTCTGAAGTTTTACTGTTGATAATTCCCAACTCCGAAAACACACTGTCAGCCACTTACGCCGATGACACGGCAATCCTCTCATCCCACTCTGATCCCAAAACAGCATACCAAAACCTCCAAATACATCTTGATAATATTTCAAAATGGTCCATCAAATGGAAAATAAAAATTTATACAGATAAATCCTTTCACATTCTTTTTACTTTAAGAAAAGCTGTTCTACCTACAGTCTATTTTCAAAACAATCCAATCCAATCCACAACCCAAATCAAATACTTAGGTCTAATTTTAGACAAGCGTCTAACCTGGGGCCCACACCTCAAAACCAAAAGAAAGGCTCTTAACACCAGACGTCATCTTTTACGGCCTATCCTCAAATCCAAACTCTCTATTAATAACAAGTTATTAATTTACAAATCAATGTTAAAACCTATCTGGGCCTACGGCATCCAAATATGGGGTTGTGCCAAATCCTCTCAAATACGGACTATACAAGCCTTCCAGTCCATCTCCCTTCGCCAAATAACATCTGCGCCATGGTACGTCTCAAACCTCTCACTACACAAAGATCCTTAAAATTGAAACAGTCTCTAAAACAGCTAAAAACTACTACAAAAATTTTCACACCAAAGCAGTTAATCACACAAATCCATTGATTTCCAACTTAGCCAATGAATTCATACCAAATAACCCCCCACGTCGATTAAAAAGACACTGGTGTCGAGATCTAAATCCTGAATATTAACCAAAAAAAAAAAAAAGAAAAAAAAATTAAATTAATTAATAAAAACTCTCCACCCCAAACTAGAGGGTACCTACACTAGTGGTCCTCCCTCCTCACGCCATCTCAAGTTATATTTTTCACTTTTATTATCAAATTTACTTATTGTATTGTATATAAATATTACAGATTGTAAATATTCTATTTTATCAAAAAAAAAAAAAAAAAAGATAATTGTTCGATGTTAAAAAAAAAAAGAGAATTTTTTTCAATATAATATCATAGGCCGATTTTCTTATTTTTAATTCAAGCAATAATGTATCAATAACAACTATATAAGTGTTGATGTATAAATATTCTTGCTTTGTAAAATTCGTGATATTGGAATTAGTCTCATTACTATGCAACTTTCTTTTTTTCTTCCGATTTTCAGATTCATTATACATACTGATATGAGTTTTCTTTGGCAAGATCTTCAAGCTTTTTAAATGATTTTCTGTTTCGAATTGCTATTTCGTAATGAATCAGAGATTCGTAAAGTTCAACAACAGTAAATATATCAATATTGATAGGCTGGAGCTTTTTACTTGTCATATTAAATCGTTCGAGAATATCACTCCAGAAAATAACCAAAAAAGCAGATTGAAGGGAAATTAATTTTTGAAGTAACTCTTTTGCCCCACAACGAGCTATTGGTTTTTGTGTATTATCTTCTACTACTTTTTCCAATGTTAAACTAATAAATAAAATTAATACTATATTTCTTATCAAATATCTGATTATTGGAATTAAAAGTAGACTATCTATAGGTTTAGTCGTTAAAAGTACATCAGTCTCATGTGAGCCGTAATTGAGTCCATACGAAACTGTGTTACGCATTTTTTCAAAATGTCACAATTTGAACAACGCGTCGCATTCCTAAATCATCTTTTAAAATGTTTTGAACTGAACCATACGATATTCCTAATACATTTGCCATATCTTGAATGCGTAAACGACGATGTGATCGCACCAAATTTTTAACTTTTTCGATTGTTTCATCGTTTTTTGAAGTTGACGGCCGGCCACTTCGCTCTTCGTCTTCAAGTGACTCTTGACCATTTTTGAATCGTTTAAACCAATCATAAACGGCTGTTTTCTTTAATGTTTCATCACCATAAACTGTTTTCGAGCGTGTCTGCGGCAGTTTTTCCAAGTTTAAAACAAAATTTAATGTTAGCGCGTTGTTCAAATTGTGACATTTTGAAAAAATGCGTAAACACAGTTTCGTATGGACTCAATTACGACTCACATGAGACTAATGTACTTTTAACGACTAAACCTATAGATAGCTAATAATGTCTACTTTTAATTCCAATAATCAGATATTTGATAAGAAATAAAGTTTTTTTTTCTATAAATAAATTCCGGGAACTTTTGATCCTACTATGTAGGACTCGACGCTACTGCTCGTATACCTGAGTATGCATGTGGAATAAAATATTATTGGAAGATAGTACTTTGGAACAAATATATATTGTAGAACAAAAATCCATTAGAAGAAAAAGATTTGGAATAAAAGTATATTGGAACAAAAGGTTAGTTCACTTTGGAATAACAATACTATGGAATAAAATGTAACGATCCAGTCTTGATACCCACATTGCTGGCCACAGTCTTAGAAGATATTTTTTAAAACCGTGTTTCTGGCCCATAGAGTATTATATAGAGTATATTACTCTATGTGCTGGCCATCACTCGGTTATCATTATCACTTATTCAAATCTTGAGCGTTAAGTCTATGATTTTGAGATTATTTGTTACCTATCATTATCAGTTATCACTAATTATGTAAACTGAATGTATTATCATTATTTACTTTCTTTTCAAAATACATTTTTATCAACATTTTAAATTTTAGTTTTGTTTAAGTTGCACGTAATATCTTCTAATATCCATTATTATATGATAATTGTGCTTATACTTTTATAATTGTTATAATTGTAAATTAAGTTTTCCGAGTATGGCAGAAGATATAAAAAAAATTTCATTTTCATTTAAACAAATATCTTCTAAACCTAAAGTTATACCAGAGTTATCAAAAACTGTTCTCGATAAAACTGTTCAGTTTATTGAGTGCGTCGAAGAGAAATCAATCAAAGTAGTTGGGCTAGTCGAACACACCGACCATGAGTTAGTTATACCAATGCAACCATCAGCTAAGCGAAAATTGCCCATTGAACCAATGAAACCAGTACAAAATGGCACAGGAATTAAACCTCAAGAACATGGAACTGTAACATTGGATGAAATGGCTGTACAAGCCATATTGTCAGACTGTCAGAAAACAGAAGAAGATAAAGATGATGATATGAAAAGCATTGAAGTACCTATGATAGTTAATCCACCTGAAGGCAAAGAAGTATCTACAGCTGAAGATTATGAGAATGTTCCTGTTAATAAATTTGGATTGGCTATGCTTCGGGGTATGGGTTGGAAATCGACCAATGAGACTGACAAAAATTCTCAAGTAATTAAAGCTGGTTTACCGGAACTTAGACCTAAGGGAATGGGTTTAGGAGCTGATAAATTAATTAGAACTGTGCAAGAGAAACTAAATTCTGAAGAAGAATTGAAACTTAATAAAGGATCATACCTACAGTTTACACTTGGTAGACTGGATGGTCAGTATGGTCAAGTGACAGGATTTGATGAAGGAGCATCAAGAGTAGTTGTAAAAATGGCACGCACTGGAGAAATGGAAAAAGTGAGTGAAAACTCATTTCGTTTAGTCACCAAAAGTGACTATAATAAAAATAGTAAGGTGATTAATATAAGAGAATATAAAGAATATCATGAAGGTAAGACCAAATCAAATGAAAATGAAGATAGAATTCATAACAGAAAAAAGAAAAGTAAAAAAGAAGTTTCTAATGGTCATCGGTCTAGGCAACATAAAACTAAAAAAAGTAAGCAATCTAAATCTCCTCAAAGAAAACATAAATCTGATCATAGTAGACATAAAAAATATCAGCACAGGTCTTCTTAATTTGTGTTCAACATTATATTAATTTATTATGTATTAAATATTATTAATTTTTTTTTTAAATTCATTGATATTTTAATCAATATTGTAATCATAATTTGTTAAATTCATAAATTGACTACACAAGGAATTATCATTAATTGTTCCATTATAAAATTATTATTAAAAAAACATTGAGAAACAAATTATTTACAAAAAACTTTGTACAGATGATTTGCAATTTTACATTTTAGTGTTGTGTTATCTTGCAAATCAGCAATTTAAATTATTGTTAAGAAATAGAATTAATTAATTTTAAAAATCAACAAGAATTAATAAATTTCGAAGTTTAATTCATAATTTACTTTTATTATTTATTAATTGTATATTTATTATCTTTTAGTCCTTTCAAACAAATCATCTCCAGTTATAGATCTGTGCCTAAATCAGTGCCATCTCGAGAACTGAGTAAACAGGACGCTTGTGTATATATAATTATATTGTGTAAATGAAAATATTTCCAAACATTTTGTCAACAACATAGAATTTAAATATGTTTTAGATAATATCAATTATTACAAAGTAAACGTTTTTACCACTGACTGTTAGAATAATGTTACAAATAACATTATTTTGAATATTTATTGATATTATTAACAGATACTATGTGGTAAATTAATGTTTATTTTTGTATTAAGATTCTATTATTATTCAGAATCCATTAACCACTGACATTTATTGAATTTCATGTGGATATTGATTAAGCCCAGGGGTTTTCAAATTTTGATAATTTACCCTGGAAACAGCACTGATCTGAATACTTAATATAAAACTTATAATACATACAACTAGTTTGTTTACGATAGTTTTTACCAACATAAATAATCTATTATATAAAAAAATAAACAATTAGTTTATATATAGGTATAAATAAATACAATTTTAGATTATTTATATACTTGTAAAGTACAATAGATTTTGAATAAAAAAATTCATCGACAGATATACACAAAGTCAACCAATTTGAATTTTTAATTAGAAATCAGTTGTATTTTATAAATATAATAATTTTTCAGACAAAGCTTTTATTTATTTATTTATTTATTTGTATACATAAAGTATTTGTTTATTTATATATTAATTTACTAATATTAACCATTTAATAATTTTCAATTTTTATTTCATTTTATTATAGATAATCTATTTTTTAAAATAATAAACAAAATAAGAAAAAAAGAAATATTTTTATAATACTTATAATTTACAACATAATAATTCAACATTAAAGAATAATAAATACCAACATTATCTATTATTATCTACAATGATTTCTAAAAAAAAAAATTTATTTAATTAAACATACTTGATTACATGATATTGTCAAATCACTGTACACAATTTGTTAAGTAACAGTTTTATGTTATTCATCAAAGCCACTATTTTGTAAATTACTTAGCAAGCTATAATATAAAATAATAACCATTTATCATCTGCTTATATAATTTTTTACAATTTGTTAGTTATATAAAATACATTAACATAACCTATAGAATGAGGCAACACATATATTCATTTGGATATAGGTCGATAAAAACATATCCAACAAAATTAATTTAAAACCAAAAATAATTAGCCAATATTCACACCGGGTAATAAAAACAGAAATTATTTAAGTTAATAATATAATATTATTTAGTTTTCCCAGGTATGTAAAATCATTAATAATTAATTATGAAAAAATAAAGTTTAAAAATAAAAATTAGATAAAAAAAAATATATAATGTATATTGCCAGTATGAAATTAGTGTAAATGTATAATTATAATTAATGAATAATTGTAATACAAATATTAATCTATACACAAAACAAAAGTGAGCGATGGAGAAATTATTGAGAGATGGCGGATATTATCTTTCTATAATTATATTACATATATTATACTAGAATTTAAAAAATACTTATAAAAGTTATGGAAAAAAATTATACTGATATGATAATAACTGAAACACTAAAAATATTTCAATGATGATATATAATAAAAATAATATTTTGAATTATTATTTTTACTTTTGTTAATTAATATTGAAATTATGATAACATTAACAATAATGTAATGGGAAACTTGGTTCAAAAGTTCCATATAATGACTAAAAGGAAATGATCAGTCAAATTGATGTGTGAGACCAATTTAAAAAACTAATTTAGAATCAGACTTTTAAGGAGGAACGTAGGGTGGAGGTTTACGATATGATGGTGTTGAAGTTGGTTTTGATCTATGATTAGAACCAACATTTGAGAAAGGTGGTGGAGGAGGTTGATATGGTGAGTCTTCTGTGTCAGCTAGTAAAGCTGTGGTTACCATTGGTGGTGATCTTTGATATTCAGGAGGAGGTAATGGTGGCTTTTCTTCTCTCATAATTATTGGTGTTTTATTTGTAGGTTCTAATCTTTCATCCAATTCATCCTGCAAAATTTTAAAATAAATTATCCGTACACATAAATCAACAAATAATATATAATAATAATAATTTTACACAGAGTACTGTGTATTGCTGAGTAAAAACATTTAATCTAATAAATATTGAATTGAAAAATATAATTTATTATATTCACTTGGAATATGACTGGAATACCACGACTTCGGAAACTTTGTCTTTCATCATCCCCCATTCTTAATTTTGATGAAGGTCTTCGACGATATAATAAGCAAGCTAATAATCCAGCAATTAGCATCATAGCTAAAATTATGATGGCAGGAATAATAAATGTTGAGAAATACTGGTTTGACGAGTCAAATAAAAATAAAATATTGTCGTCGCGAGGTGTAACATTAGTAGTTTTTGGCGGGCGTACTTCAGTTAGTCCTCCTTCACAAATACCAGCTGGTGTTACATGTGCTCCAACTATTTCAAATGGTTCATTCATAATTTTTGTAACATTTACCGATAACTTTTCTTCTTCATTTAATAAAATCTAGAATAATAATTATAGTTAATAAAAACACTATGGCCATACATTTTATTAATAAGTATAGCATTAGTGAGTGGTATAAATATTAATGTTGTTTAAAAATGTTAAAATGTACACTTAAAAAAAAAAAAAAATCCGTAATTTAAAACTAAAAGTGTATAAAACATTGCAAATAAAAACATACCTGTCTCAAATGAAGAATTTTGTTTTCATCACACTGATCAATTTCTAATGTTTTATTATACCATTTTACCATTGTTAAACCGTTTACTGAACTAATTTCAAGAACAACAATATTTGATGTATTTTTATCTCCAAAAAGTTTTGCGATTCGTTCAACAAATATTTTTTTTAATTTAGCTGAATTATTGAATTCCTTAAATTCTGGCTTATTAAATATCATGTCAAATTCAGCTGATGGTAATGGCTTTGTTGAATTTCGAATTGATACCACTAGACTGTCATGATTTGTTGTACCTTCTCTATCGGTACAAATCTAAAACATAAAAAATAGTTATATACAATAAAGTACAATAAATGCATATTAATAATTACTCACAAGTTGATACTCAGAAAAACTTTTATCACCCCACAATGGAATTCCATAAAATTCTTGATTTTTAGTGTCAAATTGTAACCAGTTGTTAGATGGCACTTGTGTGCGATCAATAGTCATTAATGACAATTTTAAACCACTTGAAGAACCGACATCAGGATCATAAAAAGTGTCCTTCAAAGTATAAATGAAATAACCATATAATAAATTCAGTAAAAATGTTGATCATTTAAATACTTGATAAAATTAAAAAAATAATTTACCTCTGGCACAAAATAAGATAATAATTGCCCATAAGTAGCATTAATAAGATCAACAGGATTGCGTAAAACTGGTTGATAATTTATGCTGGAAATTGAAGGTGTTGAAGCACAGTTTCCCAATCCTTGCCAATTAATGTCTTCCAGAATAACTGAAGAACCAAATGGTTTTATTGATTTTGTTTTACTATTTTTTTCTGGTTTTAAAATCTATAAAAAAACATTTTAATACTTTAAAATGTTTGGACACAATAAATAAGATAAACATACTCCTATAATTTTATTTATTTCATCATTGGGACAATTTTCACGAGGTAATGTGTCATTAGTCCAAGTAAATTGAACAACAGGTCTATCTTTATTTGCTTCTAGAACACCAGTTCTTGGCCAATCTAAGACTGTAATGAATTTTACATCAGTTGAATAAATAGCACCAATTCTGTCAATGATATCTAAACTCCAATTAACTGGATGACTCCATGCTAAAGAATCAGGTTTTAAGCGCATTTGTAGTGTCAATTGATGATTAATTGCACGCAAATGAGGCAATTGTTGGACAACTAATTCTAAAGTGTTGTTTACAGTTAGTTTTCCAGAGTCCATTGCTTCAATTACTATCTCCCATTTTGAAACATGATCTTCTAATGGTCTATTAAATTAATTTAATTTTAGAAGAATAATAATTTTAAGTATTTATTTATAACATACAAAGCAAGTAAGGTTTGTTTTTCAGTGTCAAACTCAACCCAAGACAGAAGTGTTGGATCAGTGTTCAACATTGATAATTTTAAGTATTTTCCATCTCCATCTTCAGCATCATAGAATATATTGTTTGGAATTGGATACCTGGTTTCATAATTAATAGATTTAATCATAGGAATAACAATTTTATTTCACTAAAAACCTACTTGAATGGTTTGCCAGCTATTATAGGGAGTTTAGGCAATTTATGTTTAATAATTGGTGGTGTATTAGGAATTTCTCCATTGATTGTTGTAGTAGGGGAAGTGCTAATAGAATTTTCAGTAAGTAAATCCTTTATTTTTTCTGTCACTAAGCTGGGTGTTCCAGCAGATGTATTTTCTTCATCAACCATAATGGTTGTTACTGGTTCACCCATATCCACAGATTCCTAAAAATTATATAATAATGTTAATTACATAATAAAATACATAACAATTATTTATAGAACATACAGCTATTTCTTGTGTATTGGGAGTTGAAGATTTAGGCTCAAAGACTGTAGGAGTTGGCTGAATATTTTCATAAAACCCAACAACTCCATTAGTATCAAATGTTGCAGGTAAATTTGTTTTCTACAAGTATTAAAATAAAATATTTAGAAGAATTAAATAAAATTATGATTATCAAAACTTAAAATTAATTACTTGAACAGGTGTAGAACTTATCACGCCTTTTAGTATATTTAATGTTGATTCATCTCTACGATGATGTCTGTGAAGACGGTCAGTATCATACATTGCAGGTAGAAAATATGGAGATGGTTCAATAGCTGGCAATCTTAGATCAGGAACAATTTCTTCTTCATCATCATCAGATAGATCATCATTAAACTTATTTGTTTCAAAGTTTTCTAAAGTTGGTTCAAGTTTCACATCTGTCACCTATTCATATGATTAGTTACTGGTTACTTTCAATAACATTTAATTAATTTTATTCTTACTTGACGGCGGCCTCGTAAGGGGTTCAATGAATTTACTAATCTCCAACTGGTAACTGGTAGTTGTAATACCTCAGATAATGTGCCATCAACAGCATTACTTTGCATTTGACGTACATGATCAATATGTTCTTGCCAAATATCTCTTCCACAGCCAACCTAAAATTATTAATATTCCATTAAATTGTAATATCACTTATTTACTATAAATTATATAATAAACTATAAGATTGTCAATTATATTATAACATAATATCATATTATGATTATAATTAAATGTATTAAATTAATATGAATAGTAGTTTTTTTTAATTTATAATTAACAATAAAACTAATAAAAAATAAATATATATTATTTTTAATTATAAATAAGAATTACAATGTAAATATAAAATAGTATTAATATAAACACAGTGAACAAAGAAGATTAAAAAATTAAGTTATATGGATTTTGTCAAATTTTTAACTTTTGGAATTGACATAATTTTTAAATTTATTTATTGTTTACTATGAACATTATTTACATTATATGAACTCATTATTATACACAATTTAAATAAAATATATATGTATAGTATAAACCAAGTATGGTCAAACATTTTAGAATAAAGACCTATGTGAACATATTCTTTTTAGAAGATTTATTTAAGAACCTAATGATAAATATGTGAATAACAATTACAAATTAATTATGAAATAAATATATAAAATTTTGATAAAATAATTGGCAATCCACTTTCACGTTGTATGGGAAAGATTGTTAAGGCATTTTTAGTACATACAATGTTTACTATTATAGTATTAGGCAAATCAAATTTAATCAATATTACATAGCAACACTTACCTCCCATAGGACAAAAGATGTATCATTGAATTGATGTTTTTTATGTGACTGACGCTCAGATGATACTAATGAATCTATTAACCAAGAAGATACACTCTCTTGAGGAACCAACAATACTGAATCCTAAAAAAAATTGTATTAATAACATTTATGACTTATTAAGTTATACATAAATCTTACTTGAGGAAGACTAAAAAATCCTGCTAAATTTTTCAGTGCAATAAGTCTTTGCAATGGTTGTATACTCTTAAAGTTCATACCAATAACAAGGCAAAGTAAAATAGAATCTTCAGTATTTTTACATCGTTTCTAAAATATATTTTTAAATTATTAAATAATTAGCATTACAATGAGAAAACCTGAATAATTTAAACAAACATTATTTCTGACGTTTTTCCATTTAAGTGGAGCTACTCTTATATATGCTACATCGGAAACCATTCGACGACTTTTGTCTCCTGCTCGTACCAACAAACGATCACGAACATCTTCAGGTCCAGGTATACCTTGAAGTTCACCCTCAACTTGAACTAACCAACTTGGAAGACCACCACCATCTTGACCCAAAAACTAAATAAAAATATAAAATATTGAATTTACTACAAACATTGTAATACATTATTAAATATTTGATTTAAGTTTTAACTCAATAAATAAATAAAAAACTAAAGTTTAATTTATACTTTAATGAAAGTACTTAATTACAGAATACCATCTGAATAATTATGGTGTTTTAGGACTATTCAAATAAAAAAAGAAGAAGTATGATACTAATTTGTATAATCAATGGTTTCAAATTTAAAATCATTTTTACAGATTTTATGTTTAATTTTACATTGATTTTTACTAATTTGTTTAATATCATGCAAATAAACAATTAAAATCTAAATAATAATGTAAAGTAAATCATAAAATAAATATATTTAGCATTAAAATAAGTAATTTAAAGTGTATACAATTTAAAATATAATAAACCGTTATTATCATTAGGTTTTTAATTTTAATAGTCTAAGTTAAAATGATAAAACAATAATACATTTCATAAAAATAAGGTTAGAATATGATTTGTTTAATATTAACTAAATTGTAATATTTTTGTTTATTAATTATTTTTATTGAAAAATAATATTTAACTATGATTAGTTAACAATCGTGACTAAGAAGTATGTTCTAATGTGCAATAAGCCAAAATTATCAAATATTTAAAACAAATTTAGCTGAATACCAAGAACAATTGTTTATCGATGGTAGGCTTTACTCATAAGACAAAATATTGATGACAAATGCACAAAAAGTTGGGACATATAACTAAAAATTACATTTTAAGTTAAATTACTAATACAGATTAAAAACAATAATAATTGCTATTCATTGTATTTAATAAGACTATATCAAATGAAAACAGTTATATTTGAGATAATATTTTATAAATTATCTTTTATTTTATTATATCAAAATAATATTTAAACAATATTATAACTATAATTTCAAGTTATAAACATAAACAATTATTTCTATTTACTCAAAAACAAAATAATAATACTAATAAAAAAGTGTTATCTTTTTCCTTCGAATTAAATAAACTATTTAAATATTGTTGTAATTAATTAACTAATTGTTATTTAAATTTCAAATATTTAAAAAAATACAATGAACAATATATTATAAATTAGAATATTGTATAAATGAGGTAAAAATATATTTCTAAATGTAGGAAAATATTTATTCAAAACTTTTTTTTAAAATATTATTATTAAAAACATTATTACAAAAATATAATTTAAAACCATCAAATCTAATTTATGTATTGTTCTATAAAAATAAATGTAGACCCACTAATATAGTGAATAAAATCAGACTATCAAATAGGTTCAAACTAAAATAATAAAATGTCATTAAAACAAGTTCAATTTCTTTTTTGTTTATAATTTTGCTTACAAGTGTATAATGAAATATAATAATTACACCAATTCATACTACATATCAATATAACAATTATTTGATATCATTACTAAAAACTATTAAATTTTAAACTGTTAATTAAATTGAACAAATCTGTAAACGAATGTTACATTACACGAGAAAATATATAAAGAACCGTAATATGAAAATAAATACTTAGTTATTGAATGGTGTAAAAATTATAATTGCGTTAATACTAGGAGAGAAAACAATAATTGTAAGACATAATTATTATTTTTATATTAATAAAAATAATTTAAGCAAGTAATTTTTTTAATAGACAGTAACATGCCAACATTTAAATACCTTAAAGCATACATGTGTAATCATTTGGCAACTACTACTATTTACGACTACTGAGTAATCTGTTATTTGTTTATACATAAAAAATAAAGAATAAATAAAAACCAATATAAATGGTATTTAAAATTATTGAATTTATAAAAGTTTATAAATAAATTCCATCATGAAATCCTTCATTTCTCTCATGATAAGTAAACAATTCTAATGTGCGATAATATTCTCTCAAATAAAATAAAAATAATTTCATAGTGAAATAAGCCAAAATAAGATTATTTTCAATTTGCCATGAGTATATTAAAAAGTATATTAATTTATGAACCAGGAATGATGATTAAAATTTGTGTATTAAGAATCATTATTAGACTATAACAAATAGATAATTTTAACGTTCTACAAGATGATAAATTATACTGCATTAAAATCACATAGAGTCAAGTGTCTCTGATATATTTATGCTATTACTTGTCATAAAAAATAACTCATGTTAAAGTTTGAAACCAGATGCATATTACTAATGGAGAAATCTTACATCAACAGGACTGGTATTATCGACGGCAGAGTCGTGCGGTATTTTGAAATAAAACAGCTTGCCAACAGTGGCCACCGGTTCTGGGATACTCCACCATTTGTGTTTGACGTCGGCAGACTTGTGTGCGGACGACAAACACAACAGAAACGCAATGGCAACGAAACGCTTCATTTGGACACTGAAACAGAAACGGAACTTAGGGTAATGCGTTACAGGACACGACCAAACACTGCGGCGAGCACAGGGCAGCAGAGCGTGGGCAGCGGACGCGGCATATGGTCCGGCGATGCATTCGGCCGGGTCGCGAGGAAAGAAAAAATAAAAATAAAAAAATTATGCACCGCACACCCACGCACGAACAACTGGCGAACATGTTGCCCGTCGCAGGGACGACCGCAGGCCGCGGACTCGATCTGGGGACGGCGGGCGCTCGGCAACGGGGTAAATGACGCGATCCCGTCGGTACTTACTGTCCGGGGCGAGAAGTTCGGACGAAAAACGGGTTGAAGGCGAACGCTTGAGCTACGCTGACGAGCAGACACCCAACGGCCGACAACTGATAGCGACTGGCGGAGAGGCGACTCGTGACTATTGCGCGGCGATGACCGCCGGTAATCTTGGGGCCGCGGCGACAACGTCAAACCAACTCTTTATTATAACAAGTATATACGTATACGTACGTTGGACGGCCGAACGCGTGTGCGTGCGTGCCCGGTGCCGCGTAGTGTTGTCGCGAGTAGGCGGCGGTGGGGACCGTGTCGGCTGCGGCGGCGGTCGTGCGGTACCACCGAGTTTGCCGAGCGGGGCGCGCGTGTGGGATGATGCGCTACGATCGAAACGTAGAGGAGGGGGGTGAGGAATTCATTACAATAATATTATATCAATGCGCTACACTCCGGACGTGCCCCGACGAGAATAATAATAGTAATAATCGTGATGATAATAATGATGTCCCCGGTCGATGCAGTGTTGTTTTCAGTCACGCCGGTTCCTAGATGGCGCGCCGCGTACGTCTGTTCTTCGGCTCGCCGTGGTATTGTTCGCAATGTTACATTCCAATCGGGGCGAATGGCAATATGAATATTTGTGTTTGTTGGCGTCTCGCCGTAATGCTTGTGAAACGACTTGGACTCGTGACGATAACAGTAGATTATTATTATTATCCTACGGTAAAACGCAGTGCAGTATGGAATGCCTTAGCATAACGACGGCCTGGCTAGCGCACACATTACTTGGTCGGCTTAATAAAATAGAGCCCCTCCTTTTGTACGCACAATTAGCAAGACGTGGGGTCTTGAATATATTTTTTTCAATACATTGTTCGTAAGGATTACATACTTGGTTAATTAAAAGGTAAACAGTTAGAGTAGGTAATTTAAACGTACAACGATTAACACACAAATTATGGATACTGATGATTAATACAGAAGTAATTTTTTTTCAATTCTGTAGAGGTCCTCTGAGAGGAAAGGTGATAAATAAATAATAAAAAAAAAAGTTGAACTATCAACTTCATACATTAAAAAAAAAAAAAAAATTAAAACATTCACATACACACTATGGACAGCACGGGATGGGGGTAGTTGTGCAGACCGCCAATGTGTGGACAACTGACTCGCTTATCGTGACTAAATTGGGTATTTGTCTGTTATTCCTACTACCGCAACTACTCAATTCTGTTATCTCGATTACCACGCCGAACGTGTTTGGGGCTCCGCTAAATGGAGAAATAAAAATAATAGGGGAACCAGACGCCATCATTTGGAGTCTTATCTGAAGACAACATTGAAGGAGAACCATTCGATAACATATTGAAAAATATTTCCGAAAATTGGTCACAAAAAAATAGAATTTTAGACTTATGCAACTTTAACTGTGATCATTTTGATGATTTTTTGTTTTATATTATAATAACTTTCCATTTTAATGATAATTTTGATGATTTTATATTTTATCCACGATTTAAGATACCTAGTACTATCTTAAATCGTGGTTTTATACTATAACTCTCCACTACTGTGATCATTTATGTGATTACTGATAATAAACGTTACACTAATTTACATTATAATATAAATGGCAATTCATGACGTGTATTATGTAAAATACGGAACTATCTGGATAGTACTATAGTAGTCGAGATAACAGAATTAAGAGTCGCGGCATCGAGCGGTAGTAGGGATAACAGACAAGTACCCTAAATTGTACAATTATATAAAATAGGGATGGGCAAAGTAACAACAGGGCCAATTTTTAGAACTTTAAATCCTGGGGGGCCATAGTAAAAAAATGAAAAATTAAAAGAGGGTCATTGAAATTGACCATTAACATTTATTTTAAATAATAAAATTTTACGACTGAACCAGTACAATAAAATAAGTGCTTAACACCTTGACTATGTTAGCTATACCGACATAGTGTATATTATATTATAATGATTTAGCTGGAGTTCAATGTTAGAGAAAAATAAAATACCTACATTTTGCAACCAACGTGATTAAATTAAATACTTATAAAAACTAAAATTTGAAAATGTGAAAATGTAGCACAAGCCAGAAAAAAAGTACGCAGGCTGCCAGTTGCCCATCCGGGGTGTTATCGATTCCGCCGTTTTAATATCAATTCCGCCGAACTTTTTTATTTATTGATTCCGCCGGCTATCAATTTTGCCGGAAATTCGTTTATGATGTTAATAAACCATAATTTTAATAATCATAATAATCTAATAATTTAATCGTTCTAACCATATTTTTTTTTAAGTTTAAATAAAAGCATTTCAAAAAATAATTCAAACATTTTTGTAAGTACATAGTATAACGCCAAAAAATAAAAAATAATGTAGTACAAATAAAATGAATAATAATTAAAATGTAATAATAATATTAATTGATTTATTTTTCAGAATAGTGCATAGATGCCAGTTTTATATATTTAAATCTATTAATTTTTTTATTTAAATATTCTTCAAAAATTGTTTCTATATATATTTTTTTTTCATAATTTTAATTTTTACTTATTTTAGTATTATCGAGCCCTCTTATTATTATATATGTATCAGTTTGAATTTTTAAATTTAATACATGCGAAAACAAAAATATATTAGGATGTACTTTATTGAATTGGGTATTAAGTTTCGAATGAAACGATTCGCAATTGTTAGTTCGTTCGGAAGAAATTGAAGATGCCCACATTTTTGGATTCAATTTTAATGTTTCATCAATATAATTATCACATATATAATCGCAGAATTTTTTTAACCTTGGGCCATCAGGAACGACTGACATAAAATATTCAATAAAGCTTTCACTTACATCTTCTGCATTTAATAATGGCAAACCGAATATCCATTTCAACCACTGTCCAATTTCGCTGTTGGAATTCTTGTATTTAATTGATAAGTCTATAATATAGTTAATGTATATAGTATATAACAGGGGTGGCCAAGATGAATTTGTTCGCAAGCCACATATATAAATGTAATGATATCAAGAGCCAAAATATTTGTAAACACATTTTATAATTATATATAATTTGATATAATCTGTACTTTTACAACCCAAAAGTAATAAAAATAGCCAAGAGCCGATAAACATATCAAATTAAGTATTATATTACTTCAATATTATTTTGTTTGGATTAGATTACAAGTTTTCTCACGAATTCCAATATATTATGTCGTTGTTAAAATAGTCTGTGTTGAATAGTCCTGTTGTTAACACCTTAATTTGTTTATGAAATATTTGTAACATTTTATCAGTATATATTGCAAAAGTTAGTTACGATGTCAATTTCTAAAAAAGCGGTAAAACGTAAATATGAAGATGAAAAACGGGAATTTAAATTAGAATGGGAAGAGTTATACTTTTTCATACAGTAAAACGATAAACCATTTTGTCTCATATGTCAACTTATATTATCACAGTTTAAGGTCAGTAATTAAAAACGTCATTAAGAAACCAATCACAGCACATTTAGTCGAGAATTTCCTATCGATTCTGATTTGAGACAAAATTAGCTATGTTCGATGAAATTAAAATTTGCTAAACAAACTAATGTTATGACAATGTTTACTAACGAGGCAGATGACAGTGAGAAGCAAGTTTTGTAATTGCCTTTAATAATGCTCGAGCAAAACGCCCGAATACGGATGGCGAGTATATAAAAAAAAAATATTTTAAATGTAATTTCTGTTTTAAATCCTGAAAATCAAAAACTTTTAAAAATGGTTGAAAATGTACCATCCTCAAGACATACAATAGAGAGGCGTATTTCAACAATTACCTTTGATATTTTCAGTACATTAAAAAACAACATTGCCAATTGTTTGTTTCTTAGTCTAGCTTTAAATGAATCTACCGATATTCAAGATAAATCTCAGTTAGCCATATTTGTTCGTTATGTTACGAGGGATGTAGATGTGAAAGAAGAGTTGTTAGATCTAATTTCATTAAAGGAAACCACTCGGGGTGTTGACATTAAGATTGCTTTCGATGAAACACTACGAAAAGCTGAAATCCCGTTAAACAAAATTATGAGCATTTCAACTGATGAAGCTCCTAGTATGGTGGGCTGTAAAAATGGATAAGTAGGACTTTTAAAAAATGATACTAATTTCCCAGATTTTATACCTATTCATTGTATTATCCATAGAGGATACCTAACTGCTAAATATTTTAAATATGATCATGTAATGGATGTTGTCCTAAAAATTGTAAATTATACAAAGTGTATAATGTAAAATTTAAAAAATATAGTCCATTCATTATTATTATTTATTAGTATAGTTATTTAGTTATTTATAATAATACGGCTTTTTATCGAACTGTCAGTTACGTGAGGTGTAACCTTTTGGTATCGTCGATGTGATAAGCAAATACGAGCAATTACTATGCATGATTTATAAAAGGTTTAAAGTTACTGAGTTTACAATATAGTATTTGAATATTTATCTTCAGAAGCACATGATTACTGGCATTAAAAATTATTGGCAAAAGTGCTTTTTTTTAATGGTTCATGGGATGAAATTCGCTATCTACAACATAATCATATGTAAGTATTGGTCGGTTTTAAGTGAGAAAACTAAGGTAATTAAAATAAATAAATAGGCGTGATAAAAAAAAAAATCACAAAAAACCTGATTGAGAATCGAACCGAAACTTCTCTCGATCACAAAATGTTTTGAGGAATACTTGCTTGAAACAGAAAAAATATGATGTGCCGACGTAGCATTATATCTAACTGCTGTGGCCTCAGTTAGTTATTTTCATGCATGTGACCCTTTACACACTTTTTTAAAGAGATTTTTTCGTAGCACGTCACCTGTTTTACGGCGCCCGAACGAGACAGCTTGGACGCACAGGTGTTTAACAATTTTTACTATTATTTAAAGTGTTTAGATTTAACCAGATACAAATAATAAAAATTAAAAATAGATAAGTATCTATTATTTTATTTAAATAAAAAACCTAACTTAAGGCTATCACAGAAATCTTTAGTTATTTACCGTAATTAATCTGGACATTTTTTTTTTTACGATATTTAATCGAATCGTTGAACGCCGTAATTACTTAAGAATGAATAC